ATTCATTAAGCTAGGACAATTTTCATTTGTTTTCTCATAATAAAGCACAAAGTGGCCAAATTTGGCTTTTTGGTCATCAAAACTTGAGCCCCAATATCCTAAAGACAAATAAAATTTCCCAGATTGGGTGGGCAGGCAAGTGAAGGAAGAGAGGTCAGAGATGCTAATACCTGGCAGGATCCTGAATTCCACCCCTCTCACCCCTGCCCCCAGGCTGAGTTCTGGGATTGGTGAGGTTGAAAGATGATAGAAACACTGTATTTTAGTGCTCTTGAAAAATGTACCTATATCTAAATTTCTTCTTGAACTTCCAGAGGATCAAGGATTAATTCTCCTTTGACACTCTCTGAGCCCTTGGCTCCCAGGCCCAGGCACTTTCCTAGTCACCTCCTACCTCTGACTTCTAATCTCTTCTCCACCTGCCTTCATAGTCAGTATTTCCTAGATTTGTCCTCATCCCACTGATCTCACTGTATTCACCCTACCACCCCAAAATTCCTCCCAGGACACCAGATTTCACCAAATATTCACCTGTAGGGAGGTAACAGTCCAGGTTACTGACTTTAGAGGTTTAATCCCTTGGCTCAGATAATACTGATACCTGCACACCTGAATGGAGCACCTGATTTCATCCTTTGTTCACTGAATTAGTCAATACTAACTTTGAGCAAATAGCTCAAGAGTAGAATGGCCTCTAAGAGGGCAAGCTCTGAAAGGCATCTCTGCACAATGGTTAGTAGTGGGGGCTCTGGAGCTGGGTTTATAAACTATCGATGTGAATCTCCTCCCCTCATTAGTTGGGAAGCCTTGAGTAAGTTGTTTAACCTCTCGTGCTTCCCTCTCTTCATCTATAAAACAGAGACAAGGTATGAGAATTGGCAAGTTTACTGCTGATGTATAATAAATACATTACATAAGCTATTAGTGGTGACTCTAAATCTCAGGTTCTTTTTGAAATATGGTGTTTACTTCTCAACTTTAACTTATGCACAGTAAAACCTACTTTCTACAGTTGTAGTAAGGACCTGAAAAAAATGTGTGTAGGATGCCTGCCATGAACAATGGCAAGTCATTGGCACTGAAATTTGTAGGTTTAAAAGTATTTATAATGAGGTTTTTCTTTTGCCTCAGAGTTTCAGAATAAATTATGCATGTTCTTTTCCATTTCTTTCTCTCCAAGAAGGAAAGTGTCTTGGAGTGTCTTTCCAGTCTGGATTTCTATCCTACATTTGAAACTCTTGAGTTGTCCTTTTGCTGACCTAATGGAGAGAAGCCCTGTTCTCTGGTCCTACCCTTGAGAATTTCACAATCATGACACATGCTGCCGGTCAAATGAGTCTCCTCGGCTGCCTTTTTTTTTTAAATTTATTTATTTATAGAAGAACTGGGATACAGGTCAGAGGCATGGGAGGGTGAGAGAATTCACCAGAGAGAGCGGGGAGCAGAACAGGCAGACAGACTGAAGACACTACTGAGGAGAGCAGCGGGCGAGGCAGGAGAGGTCTGCTGTGCCATTTGGGTTTGGCCGGGAATCGAACCTCTGCTGCAGAGGCTGTGGACAGCTTCACAGGGCAGCGCTCAACCTGCTGCACCACCGGGGAGGCCCTCGGCTGCCTTTAAATAGGATTTATGCCAGTAGTTCTCAAACTTTTGCATGAAGGCCATGTTAAACCACAGATTCTTGGGTCCCCAAATTTCCAACATGGTAGTTCTGGAGTAAGGCCCCAAATTTGCATTTCCTATAAATTCCCAAATAATGCAGATACTGCTGGTCTAGGGACCACACTTTGAACAGTTCCGGTCTACACAGACCCAGGGAAGAGGCTTTTGGTCATTTATGTCAGTGCTGGATAAAGTCTTGCCAAACAACTGATAATGACTTGAACATCAATATACCTATTAATGCAAGCTACATTGCTGCTACACTTTATATAAAAGGATTCTAAGGCCATAACAATGATAATGATATGCATGTATTGAGTTTTGGCTATGTACCAGACTTTTTCTAATTCCTTTACATGTAGTAAATTTATTTCTGTATTTTATATTTATGGCTGTTTTTAAAAATCAATAGCATTCTCTCACCATCTTATACTGCCGTGCAAAGTACTTGCCCTCATTTTTGTTGGAGCCCATGATCTCATTCAAGCAAGAAGTATGATTTATTTGTCAAGAGATATGAAAAAATGGCAAGATAAAAATATTCATGTGATATATGCATATAAATATGTTTAGGAGTGGCTGAATGAAGCTCTAGATAAACCAAGGTTTAGAAGAAACAATTGCTTGCACAGAGAAAAGCAGTGAAGAATTGAGATGATTTAAGCATATCAAACACAAGCATTTGCTTCAGTAACTTTTTGAGTAACAAAATCACATGACATAGTTTCATTTGTGTTCAATATTGTAAAATTGTTTTTCTTCTTTTGTTATATAGAAATTATTTGTTGTGCAAAAAATAGAATAAGGGGGCCTTCCTGGTGGCACAAGGGATTAAGACACAGCACTATGAAGCTATCCGCAGCCAGTCACTGCAACCACGAGTTTGATCCCCAGCCAGGAAGCTGACCCACATGGTGCAGCAGACCTCTCCTGTCTCCCCTGCTGCTTCCCTCAGCAGTGTACTTCGGTCCTTCTGCCTGCCCTGCTCCCCACTCTGGCTCAGGTGAATCCTCTCACCACCTCCCCCACACCTCTGGCCTGTACCCCAGTGCTTGTATGCATAAAATAATCTTTTAAAAAATAGCATAAGAGGGCCTCCCCGGTGGCGCAGCGGTTGAGTGCTGGGCTATGAAGCTGCCCACAACCTCTGCAGCTCTGGTTTGATCCCTGGCCACTGGCGAGGGTCCCACATGGCATGTAGACCTCTCCTGACATGCCCGCTGCTCCCCTCAGCAGTGTATTTCGCCAGTCTGCCTGTTCTGTTCCCTGCTCTGTCTCTGGTGAATTCTCTCACCCTCCCGCGCTTCTGACTGTACCCAGTGCTTGCATAAATAAATAAATAAATCTTAAAAAAACTAAAAAAAAAAACCAAAAAAAAAAAATAGCATAAGAATTTGATCAAAGTAATATGAGTCAACATTAGAGATACCCTTATATCCTATGTATGTAAGACATGCCACTACAACCAAGAGTTTTCTGACCCAAAATATCAATAGTGGGGGTTTAGAAACTCTGGAGTATTTTTTTTTATCAGCTCATAGTAAATAGGAGGGGCAAGGTAACTACAGAATGTTTTTACTTATGAAATTTAAAAGCAAGTTCAGAAGACAAGTATTTATGAAATAATTTCAATATTACAAATGATGCTACTATAAATTCAGAATCCCCAAACCTGCCATTCAACAAACTTTATCTTTTGGTCCTCATTTTGCCTGCCAAAGTAGCAGACCCAGCCACTAATAGAGCTAAAGAAGACTAATCTATGCCCTAAAGAATTTGTGTTTTCTTTTTTACCTATACAAACTTGACCCTCCACAAATAGAATAAAGTCATTTTTTGAGGCTCATAAATGATATTTTTTAACTTTTCTTTAGTGATGTTTTCATTTTTTTAAGTTTGGGGCATAACTTCTTTTTTTTTCTTTTGTTTTTTAAAGATTTATTTATTTATTTATACAAGAACCGGGGTACAGTTCAGATGTGTGGAAGGGTGAGAGGATTCACCAGAGACAGAGCAGGGAACAGAACAGGTAAACTGATGAAATACACTGTGAGGGGAGCAGCGGGCATGACAGGAGAGGTCTGCCGCACCATGTGGGATACTCACCAGCCAGCCATAATCAAACCGGTGCTGCAGAGCCTGCAGGCAGCTTCACAGCACTGTGCTCAACCATCTGCGCCAGCAGGGGAGGCCCTGGGACGTAACTTCTTTATTTTAAAATAAATCTGATGAAATCACATCAACTTTTTAAGAGGTGACTAATAGGGTGTTACACAACCTGATCATTTGAACTTGCAAAGATTGGAAATGTCCTTGAGCTACTTTATGTGACTGGATCCTCTGTTTATTTTTATGGCAATCACTGACATTGGGGAATCCCGAGGTGGCCTGCCAGCCAACACATTCTGTTCAAGGGACAGCTCTGATTCAGCTTTCAATGTCTTAGAAGCAAACAGAGTGCCCACCACGTGGTCAGCATTACTTAGATACTGTTCAATAAACAAACACAGAGGAGCCTACAAATCAATTCTGTTGCTTTCCTCTAAAATTTGACATTTATCATTACATTTATTTATAATTATTTACACTTATTATATAACATATTATATAATATATTTATCTGTGCCACATTGGGAGAGTAATCACTGACAATTTCAGGGTGAGTCATTTTTGTATTCCATGTATTATATTTTATCCATTCTAATTGCCAAGTCTTAGTCTGGACTGTGATACCAACCAGGGGAGAGGCAAGAACTAGAGGCCACACAAGCAGCTCTCACCCAGGACTGTCCCCAAACGCAGCCTATCCATTCTAAATGAATTGCAATTTTACCGATTCCCCCAAAAACTCTCTCACTATGTATGGCCCCACCAAATGAAATACTTTTGGCTATAGGCTTTATTACCTCCTTCTTTCCCTTTGTTTTCCTTCTTCTGTCATTCTCAATTAACTAAAGGATATGAAAATGTATTTTAAAATATTTATTGAATGAAGTCTTAGACTCCTTGATCTCAATTTTAAAAGCGATGAATTCAACAGTTTCTCTTTCTTTAAAAAAATAACAAAAACAAACAAAACACACAATCATAAATTTCTTTGAACTGTGTGAGCTCATGAATAGGAAAAATGTACTGATATCCAAGCTAAATACTATAACTCTTTTCCTAGAGACCTACAACATCTCAACAAAGGTGCGGAAGTGGGAAGAAGTAGCAGCAAAGGAGGAAATCATGAGTTTATCTGGGGAAAGGGAAAAATCCAGTTTGAGGGATTTCAACTGGGCTTTTTTAATATAGTAAAACCTTAAGGAGAAAACCGCCAGCCACAAGATGCTTACCTTTGCACCCTTCACATGTCAGTGCATTGTAATGGTATCCAGATGCTCTGTCTCCACAAACAACACACAGCTCATCCCCTTTTATTCTCCCTGTTGATGTGCCCATTCGTGCCTTCTTTGCTACAGGCATCTCTGCTACCTCATTTTCTCCCTGGTAGAGAGTCTCAGTTGGCATTCGCCTGAGTTCATATATTCCGGGAGAGTACCACTCTTCATGCTGCTGCGGGTAGAAACCCAGGTTGGAATAATAGGATGATGAAGATATCTGTGGTTGAACTTGGGGAAACTGTACATTGTTGTACTGGGAGTATGATTCCACTTCCAGAGTCTGTCCCAGAGGACCTGCCGCCGGTTCTGTTAGCACACCTGAATGAAAAGTAACCACAAAACTGGACTTAACATCATCATTCTTTAAATTAGAAGGGCAGTTTGGTCTATGGTTACGAATATGTGTATCAAGGAAAGACTGAAATATTGAACTGTATAAAAATTAACAAATTTTCACAGCAAAAAAAAACTATTAAAAAAGTTAAAGGACAAGTTAAAATCTGAGAAAATATTGGCCTCAAAGAGGACTAAATACTCATATCACTAATATATACAGAGCTCTTGCAAATCAATAAGAAATAGTCAACATAAAATAGGAGAACAAATAGGAATGTTAAAATTTTTAAAAAGGAAAATTAAAAGGAATGTTAAAAATGCAACACAGAAAACATTCAACATTAATGGGAAAAAGGGTAAAAGACATAAAATTATTTAGTAATCTAAACATGTGTTCTATAAAAACACAAAAATAGTACTCATCCTTACCAATAACTAAATTAAATAACTGAAACTATAAAATAAAATATAACAGTTTTCATTCTCAAGTATGTAAAGATTTAAATATGTAAAGATTAAAAACACACTCTTGGAAAGCAAACATTCTGGGAGGAATGTTTGTCAATACCTTTCAGTATTTAAAATTCAAATACTCTTTTAATATAGTAATTCTACTGCCACAAAATTTATTTGTAAGCTGTGCTTGTATCAAGCATATGTATGAAAAAATGTTTGTGTGAAAATATTTATTTGCAGCAACACTTTTAAGAACCATAAATTGGAATTAATTTAAATATCCACCAGTAAAAGTCTGGGTAAATAAGTCATAATATGCCCATACACTGAAAGACCATGCAGATATGAAAGAATGATTTGGATTTACATGTGCTGAGACAGAAAGGTTATGATTTGGTACCATTTGAAAAAGCTGAGTTATAGAATAAGGTGTATATTTATGTTAGCATTAAAAAAAACACTTTTTGCAAAGGAATTTTCTGCAGAATACAAACAAAAATGGATGATGGTGGGGGTGGGAACTGAGACTGTGCACTACTTTCTGGGGTGGGAGCTGTCATAATTTTCTTTATTATTTACAGTGTACATGCATTATCTTAATCCTTATAAAACAAAGTAAGAACTTAAAAAAAAAAAAAAAGAATGCAGTGCCTGGAATCGGTCTACCTGGGCTCCAGTCTCACATTTCCAATATGAAGTTTACTGAAATCCCATTTTTCTCATCAAAATTGAGGAATAATCACCACTTCATTAGGTTGATGTAAAGATTAAATGAGATAATGCATGTCAAGAGCATTTTTTTTAATTGGAAGAGGCTCCTTTTTTTCTTTTTTTAAACTGAGATTTAATTGACGTAGAACATTATATGAAGTTTCAGGTGTAGAACACGATTTACTACATGCACATATTGTGAAAGATAATCCGAGTAAGTCTAGTTAACATCCAGCACCACACATAGTCACAAATTTTTTTCTGCGTGATGAGAACTTTTAAGATTTACTCTCTTGCTAATATGCAACATAGTATTATTAACTACAGTCACCAATACTGTATATTATAACCCCAGAACAAAGCAAATCACTAAAAAATGAACAACATATAAGAGGATATAGATGTGTGCCTAATTCTTCAAAGTAGAGTCAGGCAAATGTGACCAAAATCTCAACCCCCCTCTTATGGATAGTGGGACTTCAAGTATATTATTTAGACTATTGGTAAACCCAAATATTTGTAGCAGCAAACTTGAGATGAAAATATTTCATCAAGATTTATGCTGAAGAGTGAATGAAATAAACAGATGCACAGTTTCTCATCTGAAATTCCTAGGGAAATGTTTTGGAATTCAAAATTTGGGGGATTTTATAACAGAATACAGTACAATTTCTCCTAGAAAAATCTGGAACAGAACCCATAATCAAACGCAGCACTATTTTCCATGGTGAAATGTATGACTATTCACACCAAAAGGAATTTTAAAAGATTATACACATCTTTATGTCCATACAGATCAGATTTTTTCTTTTTTTTTGCTAAAAAAAATGCTTATGCCAAACTTTGGGGAAAACATTTCATTTTCAGAGCTTCTGGGATTTAGAATTGTCCACTAAAGATTGTGGATCTATACATCTATACTTGTAGAATTCTCAGTGCTCAAATATAACTGATACTCTGATATATGCATATTGAAAAATTGTTGAAAAGAACGCTTTCTGCACTGACCTAGGAAATGACTGACAGAACACAAAGTATACAACATCATTGCAAAAAAACCAATTTCCTCTCTTCCATACACGACTTAGCCATATAAAACTACATCAAATCCGTATATCTGACAGACAAAAAGTTTTGGCAATGGACCACAAAGTGAAAGGCTTTAAAAGTGTGGGATTATTACAGAAAAAAGATAAAAACATAAGCAAAACCCTAATCTATTTCATAACTAGACATGATTAATATTTCTGGAGTGAACAGGACTGAAAAGAACTAAAAAGCATTTAAAGCATTAGCTTCATTTCCAGTTATATCTTGATTTTATTGTCCAAAAGAGCTTATTCTCCCTTAACTCCCTTCTCCACCCCATGCCCCAATTTCTTTCCACCTACAGATCCAGGAAAATTAAGCAATTTCACAGAGGTCAATTAATTAATGACAGAATCTGGATTCTGCGGAGTCCAAGGAAATGTGTAATTTTTTTCTGTTCGCGTGATCTCTGAGCAGTCTTTCAACAAAAGAATCTTTTCATAATCAGGAAACACAATGGTGTCCCCTCTCAGATAATGATATCAATCTCTGGAATCATCTTCATTAAAATGGAAAGCTCTCAGAAATACATCAATAATATTTCATAAAAACAAAATATGGTAATAATATGAGAGAGTACACAATATCATTGAATAATGCTTCTATTCCCAAAGCAGATCCACTTCTACCACATCACACATCCCCACCAAATCACCACAGAGTAGAGACAAGAAATACACAGGCACTTGCAATCAAAACCCATCAGGGCCAAATACCCCAAAAGGGTATTCTAGGACAATTTCCACAATGAATTGACTACGAGACTTGCAACAACTGCCCAGCATTTTTCTGCAACAATTTCTTCTGTAGGGCCTTCCCTGGTGGCACAAGTGGTTAAGCATCAGCACTATGAAGCTATCCACAACTCATGCAGCAGGAGTTCGATCCCCTGCCAGGGAGCTGACCTACATGGCGCAGCAGACCTTTCCTGTCTCACCTGCTGCTCCCCTCAGCAGTGTATTTCAGTAGATCTGCCTGTTCTATTCCCCACTCTGTCTCTGGTGAGAGTGGGGACCTCCTGCACCTCTAGCCTGTACCCCAGTTCTTGTATGCATAAATAAATAAATCTTTAAAAAAAAAAAAAAGGTCTTTTGTAAAACCTGACTGTTAATACCCAGTCATGCCATCTTATATTTCTGAGTATAAAATTCAATTTTGCCAGTTGAATACCATAAAGTGATGTTTGTTTCCTAAAGGACCTAGCAGACTCCTAATTTTAATGATAGTTAATGGACAGCTAATTAATAATTATTAACACTTAGCAAGATGTTTGATAACATAAGTGACAGGATACTTCTTTTGTTTATAAATATATATTGAACACTTCCTATTTGTCAGACATTATGCTAGGCTTTGTGGATACGACAGTGAATAAGACTTATAAAACAGTAGGAAAAGACCCAGACTTTCTCTCATCTGTGTGTGTGTTGGGAAGAGGGTGGAGTGGGGGTGGAGAGTACTGCAGAGAATGTTAAGTTGGGACAAAACCAAGTGAAAAAATACAGATTTTTCCAATGGAGAACAGGAGGTAAAAAGGGCAGAGCGGGCCCACTTGAGTGTATGCTTTCTGAAAAGGTAAATTTATTTCTACTTTAATACAGCTTGAAGGGAATATATTGCATATATTAAAAATGGGATTTATGAGTGGTTTTCTTGAATCAGTCTCTCAAGGAATGGAATTATTTGAATTACTTTGTGTCAGGAATTTTCCATGAAAGTTGAGGGAAGAGTTCTTAAATGGGAACAGGGGTTGCAAGAGAGTCCAAGACTCTCTGCAAAGGAAAGCAAAATTCTGGGCAGCAAGTCTATAGCATTTAATAGTTTCTCTAAAGAAGTGCCATCTCAGGGAACTTTCTGTTGTTGTTGTGTGTGTGTGTTATCTCCCTTCCAATATGGTAGCCACTAACCACATGGGGATAATGAGCACTTGACATGTGGGGAGTAATATTAAAAAAATTGAATTTCTTTTAAATACAATTTAAAATTAAGCAGCATGTGTGGCTAATGACAACCACATCAGATACAGCAGCTTTAAGGAGACTGTGATCAGAACCAGTGTGTACCCAAATGGAAGAATTGGGTCCATGAAAAAACAATACTTTCTCATCATCTCACAGTTCCTCATAAGCCTGAGAAAGAACTGGAATTATGACAAGTTTCTCATCCTTGGCATAAAGTTGACCATAGCAAATGTTTCATGAATGTGTGTTGAAATGTCTCATGAATTGAAAAACTGCCTCCTCTGCCTTACTTTATTTCCTAACCCAGGATTTCTTCACTAGATGATACGGCTTCGTTTGTGAAGCTGTTTGCTATTCCAGGTGCCAGGCCCTTGTGATGTTGGTGCCTCTCTCAGCTTGTCAGCTGACCTCCTCCTCTGTGAGGCCAGTCCCAGTTTCCCTGGGTAGAATTAGTCTCTCCTACCTTCTGGCCAGAGCTCCACTCCAGCACTAATCAGACACAGGCACGATGGTTCTCGTTTGTTCATGGTCTAGCTCACAGCTAAACTTGAAATGGTGTGACATACTGGTTCCCAGGGCCCTGCTGTGCACACACATCTGGATTCAGTTCACCTGCAACTGGCTAGATGTATGAGCGTGGGAAAGACATTGAGCTTCTTGAAGCTTCTTTTCCTTCCTCTATAAAGCTGGAATGATGCAGGACCTACGTGACAGGTTGTAGTGAAGACAAACTAAGACAAAGAATGTAAACTGCAGAGCACCTGA